CAGGCAAGTAGAGAAGCTTTGAGAAAATGAAATTAAAATTAAAATATAAAGTTCTAAGTGATTAGAAGTAACTAAATTCCCACCATCAAAACTCAAAACTTCAAACCCTACTTACTATGGACAAAGTTCTGCTCTAGGAGGTAGACTTAGAGTGTAACATTTTTCTGAAAACAAGAGCCATACACACCAATTAAAAGTGAGTACATAGTGGGCACTCAATAAATGTATATTAGTAGTAGGTTAATGTACTGTTTATTTTTTAGCATTATCTGTGTACCAGGAACCAATGTAAGCAACTTGTGTTGAACAAAACCAAGACTGATTTCTGCATGGAACTTAAATTCTAGGGGGAAACAGAAATAAATAATAAACATAATAAACAAATGAACAGTAAAGTATGTTAGATGGCAAAAATTGCTATGCAGATAGGGAAAGTAGGATGGGGTAAGGTGATCAGGAGTGCGGGTTGGGCAGCACAGCGAGTATCAGACAGGATGATGTGGAACAATGGAACACAAGACGTTGGATTTGCACTTACTTTGAGTTTGCAGCCTTCGTTCTGACACAGCTTCCTGACAAGGGCCCCAATGACGATCATGACAGTTTCTCTGATGTCACTGCTCCCAAAGGAACCTTTGAACTTACCCTATTAGCCAACAGGGAGAAAATAGGTTACCAAGATATATAAACATTTCCAAGAAACACTTTTAGTTAAATAATAAAGTAACCAATACACACTGAGGGAATGTTTTTATATTTCTAGATTGCAAACTCAGAATTTTGCTTTTGAGACACTTACAAATTCACTATCTAGTTTTAAACGAAAAAGTTAATAGAACCTCCCCATTTTAGGTATTTTTAACCTGGGGAAGTCTACGAACTTATGGCTTGGATTCATTGGGTTAGTGAACAAAGAAAAAAAGAGTTTGTAAAATTTTATGTATGGGTGAAGAGGGGTTTCATGGCTTTTTTCAGATTCTCAATGGGCCCATTTTCCAAAAAGATTATGAGTTATTCCACTAGATCATAGGTGGATAAATGCACTTAAAAAAAAAAATTCTTAAGTCCAAGAGAGGTCTAGTTTTTGTTTCCAATATAAAATTTTTAATATCAGAAGAATTGTATCTCTTCAATCTAGGTGTATGAAATACCACGAAGATTTCTGAAGTTAAAAAAAAATCTTTTAGAATGGATTATTGAAATATAACCTCGAGTTCTCCCCTCTGAAATTTTG